CTTCATATTTTGGTGTACATGAAGGTGATGGGCGAGAGCCAGCTCCTGCTTATCGAGGAACATCTTGGGTATCTTCCGCCCTGGTACTCGTATCCACGTCCTCTGTCTGGGCTGCGAAAACTTTGCTGATATGTGACTCGGTCGAAGTGTCTTTTTTTTGCTCCCACCCCTGTACAGGCAGCGAATCAGCCTTCTAGGTTTTTTGAGTCTTGAATCAGTAATGGTGGAATAGTCCCATTTTTTTCAATGCCTCTTAAATAAGAACTTTTCAGTATCGTCGTTGTATCGGAGCCATCGCAATCGTTAACGAATACAACAAAACATTGCTTTTACGCCTAGACGCATCATCTACAATAAACTTAATTGTTAACCTCTTCTGGTACCTTAATTTTTATAGACATCATTTTTTTGAAAAATGTATCAGAATTTAAATACAGTGCCAGTGTGTACACCAAATCTTGCGGCTTCAGTACAGCCTTCTAGTAGACTCTAGTTCGCTGCGGACGGTTGGGCGTGTCAGGCAGTATGAGTGTGTCACCCCGTCAAAGCCGTTCTCTGCCTTCTTGTTGAAGCGCGCATGCGACAAAAAGTGGTAGAAAACGAGTAATACGAACGATATGATACAGTCATATCATTTGCTCGCTTTAACAACTGGTGGAGAACGGGTTTGGCACCGCGCCAAACTCATCCCGCCTGACACGCCCAACCGTCCGCAATGAACTACACTTTTTCTAACCAGCGGTGCAGATCCACTACATATTCACGTCTCTCATTCTTCACACGCACGAAGACGGTTGTCAGGGCAATCAGCAACATTCAAAAACGGACTACTAAGCTACACCACCCCTCGAGTTTTTCCAGCGTGGGAAAGGTCGCATCAGTTTTTCTGTTGTTGAAGGGAAGGGGGGGGGGGGGAGGTTTGAGGTCCAACAGGCCCGACGAATCTTTTTGCCGCTCCCCCCACAGGTAGGCTCGTAGTATGACTATGCCTACTATAGTTACATTGTCACGCCTGCCTGTAGCTTAGTTTGTCCGAAAATACTGTTCTAGCTGAAAAGCAAATCGGAGAGGGGGATAGGTAGGGCCTGGGACATGATGTAAAGAGCACACATGAACTATGCCAACCTCTCCCCCACACTGGGCAGGGCGTACGCCGAAAGTTAGCGTATCGCACACAAAAATTCGTAATTCGGTTCCGGAGCAGCTCAGAGATGGGAAAAAGGAGGATGAAGGTTAGCAAGGGGTTGGCAGACTAAGTGGGGAAGATCCACCCGAAATGGGCGGCACATGCTTAAGATGGGCGGTGATTCCAGCGAACGTCAGCAACTCGCTCCGCAGAGTTTAAAGATCGCAAAAAAAGTCGATGGAGAAAAGAAAGATCTGCCGAGAGTTGGACACGTGCGTGATGTGTTAAGATCCGCCCAAAGTGTGCCCCTCAAACAGGCACTAATTCCAAAAAAACCGCGGTCCGGTTCCAGAGTCCTCCAGAGACCACGAAAAAGTGATTTATGGTCAGCGAGGGGCAACCGGATGGAAAGAGACACACCTAAAGTGGGCGGAGCGTGCGCCAAGGTGGAAAGGTATCTCATAGTCAATCTATTATCGGTTCTCTGTTCCCTCCCGTGAAGAATATTGAACTTTTCCCGAAGATAGATATGCTTGCTTCCGATTGTCGACTTAGGCTCAACACTCTACAGAGTCCCACTGTGTTGTGTGCATTACTAAAGTAATGAGTATGGCCAACCACGGCTCTTCCTAGAGATCTCACAGTGAATTGAAATGGCAAGCAAACATTTATAAACAGTTTAAAAATCAATATCGTAAACGATGACAACAAAACAAAACAAAACGATTATTACTGCTGGTGACCACTGACTGAGAAGCTGTGCAAAAGCTTGAGATGATTATCGTGATGGGACACCAAAATTCATCGGAGAACATTAATGGGGCAACAAACAAGGAACCTCCTGTGAACAATGCATCTCACGCTCCACACTCATCGTCATCCCGACGCGGTTCCGGCTTGTCCAGCTTAATTAGGTCGTCGATGCGCAGAATAGTGATGGCTGCTTCTGTCGCAAATTTGAGAGACTTCACCTGAAATCAGCATGTTCTATTGTCAAACAATCCTTCAAAAAACCGTGGCGTACCTTGCTCATAAGTGGTTCTATAACACCGGCAACGCGATTGTCACGAATATCGCCAGCTTCCAGGTCAAGACCGGCCCTATAAAAAGCTCCTGACAATCACCAAAGAAATCAACGGAAAACACGAAAATATAGAGTCAGCAAGATGCTTGCTGCTACTGAGAAAAACAACTCAAAGTACTAACCATTTAAGATGTTGCAACTGTGCATTTGTTTGTGCCTTATGATGGAAAGCACGAAGTTTGGCTACGAGTTCTGTTGAGTCTTTCGCAGCATTGGCAGACAATGTTTTGGGAATGACCAGTAGTGCTTGTGCAAATTCAGCAACAGCAAGCTGCTCGCGAGAAGACTGAAACACGGTGAATCTGGCAGTACTTACTTTTAATCCACATTCGATTGGACTCAAATTCCGAAAGCGGTGCTACGCTACAGAAACTGAATCAACGTTTCACTAACCAATGTGGTTGCAAATGCTTCCAGCCATACGTTCAAGGCAGCTTCCACAGCACCGCCACCTGCGACCAAGCGGCGACTCTCTAGAGCTCGTCGGACAACAGAAAGTGCATCATGAACTGATCGCTCCATTTCATCAAGCATCACATCATTGGCTCCTCTGAACAATATCGATAATGACAACACAGAGTAAATCTGAGTAGGGTTTTCAGGGAATTTTTCGGTGATGGAAGGGGTGGGAGGGGGGGGGGGGCATTTTGCTACTTCCCATCGACGTGTCGACCAAACGCTAGAGGCATGTCGTTAGCTTACGAGGGTTGACAGGTTTTACCACTGTAAGTCCAGGAGACTTAAGCTAACATACGAATGCTGTAGCTTGATCGTTCGACCGCGAGTGATGTTTTGGTTTGCGCGAGGCGAGCCGAGGGACGACGAGCAGAAGCGATGGAGGAGCGACTGGCGGACGGCAGGACGGCTGGCGGCAGCGACACCACCCGAGATCGACTCACCGGACGGACTTCCACCAGGACACTTGATATGGTCGGCTGTCAATAAAGCTGCTCATTATTCTGTGTATTCGATCCACTACAAAACACTTACTCCATGATGACTCGACAAGCCTGCTCCAGTTTCACAAGAGGTTTCACCAGAATGAGACTCGTAAACCAGAACTAGAGAGGCAGCGAAAGTGCAAAATGTGCCCCCCCCCCTCTCGTCGCCACACTGCGAAGTTTCTTCTTTCCCTCGTTGAATGAGGATTAAGCTCCAGAAAACTCGAACGAAAATTGAGAGCATCTTGCAATTTGGAGGGGCTGATGGTAGTCGCAACATTGTCCAGATCAATAAAGAAACAGGATGTGTAACGTTAGAAGGTATATACGGTCTTGTACGCTGCGGACACTAGGGGTGTGGCGGTGGGGGAGGGCTGTTTGGTGTGGCGCTAACCCGTTTTTCACCAGTTACTTTCGCTGGCCCTCGTCAACAACTGGTAGATTGGGGGCTGGCGCCACGCCAAACTGAGCCTCCTCTGACACGCCACAGCATCCTTAGCGAATAAGACTATAACTGCTGTATAAAAACGGAAACCGACCTCAAAATGATTGAGCTAGCAGTACGAGCTTTGGGGCCCTTTACGAAAATTAGTTCATCATCACTGATTCGTTCCTGAACCACTTCCTCTGCATGACCAAGAAGAGACGCATCGAAGGTTTCTTCTCCTTCCAAGTTCGCCAGGGAGCCCACCAGAGTTGCTGAAAGAGTCGTGAAGATTCTTACACAAACTGTAATATTATCAGAACAAATGAAAGAATGAAAAGATAATGTCTTCGCCGTTGATCAACCCCTTTTGGAGGTCGGCATGCATTCTACTCTCATTTAGAATTGCAGAGGCTTATCGAAAGCGATGTGGCCTTTACAATCACTTGTGAGGGCTAGCCGGTCAACAATTCAGTGTTTTTTTACCCTCCCATACAAATGGTATCAATCGACCGCCCCGCCAGGAGGGTAGAGGCTTGGTTGGACTGGGAACAGATC